GAGGATTCGTTTGGTTGGCATTACTCACAGACATATCTTGGAAAAGATTACGTAGAGGGCTAAGCAGCTGAACTAAAACCGAGTTAAGTTTCCTTAAATTAGCCCAAACAATTCAAACGATCCAAGAGAACAACCACTTTAGTGGAGTCAATTGATCCTTACTCAAAACTAGACCAGATCTTTTAAAGATTGAAAGCGCGAATGTTCATTTCCATGCAAATCCTTATATTTCACCCAATGCGCAAAGTAAACATATTTGCATATTCACAGAGTTTCCAATGGTTCCGCAGTCTGCTGATCCGCAGTTCAATTTTTCAATTTCCTATTTAGAAACCCAACCATTTTACATATAATATATATATGTATATCTCCCTTTTTTTTTTTCGTACCAACGAGCTCAGTATAGCCACATAGAAAAGGATGATTGGCCCTACAGGAAATACTACGTAAACAGGCTACTTATACCGAATCTTTCATTCTCCGCGACCTTCGATTTCTGGAAGGTTGTCGTGCATTACTTGTTGAAGTGTTACCTTCATATGCACAGTTCATGTTTACTGCCCGGGTTATATACTTCTTATTTTATGCTTGAGCAGTCAGCTATTACCGTGACTCTTGCAGACTGCGCTAAATTACAAAAAGAATTAAAAATAGAACTCAATTGAAGGTGGATTATTTATTTTACTTATTATGCTTTTCACGAAATATATTCTTTAGTAAGCAGTTTCGATATGTTCATATTAACCTGCCGAAAACCACTGACACACGAGCAGAAGAAGCTAACATTACGTAAGAAGCGTCGTCGTTTTTTGCCTGTAAAGCTATGCACCGGTAAGGTAAATATTTTTCTTTATTGTGAGTTTATTTGTAAATTTTCGCTCTCTAATATGTATTTTCCTACTCGTGTTTAGGTCAATAGAGGCGTTTTTGTAAAGAAATTAAAACAGTGAGCGGTCTAAAACAGGGAATTTCCCGTTGAAATGAGCTAGAAACAGAGTTTTCTTAAAAGAAAAAAAAATAGGAAAAATTGTTTGGGCTACATCTTCTATGTTGGAACGAAAACAGTGAGCGGAATCGAAATTGAGAGTTCTTTTCAATCTGGGTGTTAAGTTTCTCTCAAAACATATTGAGCTTTTCCAATTTTCTATGTACGAACTCGGCCATAATACAGGCTTAAGCAAGATGGAACATCTATTTTCAGAATAATTATCAACAAATTTCGCCGTGTGTTCGTCCATTAGCCCGGAGCCGTTGTGTTAGTTACTTAAAACACTGACAAATGAGAACTGAATGTTTTCGAACCGAGAAAAAGCTGAGAATGTAGTTTGGAAGCAGCTTCCCTTTTTCAGTTAACGACGATTGTCAACCATTCGGCGGCTGTAGCATTTCTCAAGACTGCAGGTATTTCGCTAAGGATACTCGAGCCGCGAAAATGAGCTTAATCGACTTCTAACAATGAAAGGGTAAAAACCAGTTGCAACGACCATTGGCGAGGCCTCCCCAAAAAACTTTGTTTTCATATGTAAGTATCCACAAGAAGTTATCATAATACTGGTTCACGTATATCTTCTTTTTTCTTCAATGCAGCATTTAAAGCAAAGCAAATTAGGTTTCCTGTACTGAAGAGGTCTACCGTAAAGAAGGAATGAAGCACATATCAACGGGTTCAGTAGCCACAAGGAAAAGGATGATTGACCCTACAGGAAATACGGCTTAACTTAGGCTACTAATACCGACCAATTAGGTACAATTGCACTAAAACACTTCATATACTTACAGCATGATAAGAAGAAAAGGGCTGCAAACCCAAAAACCGGTGCCAACTCCTTCATTTTCCGCGACTTGCGATTTCTAAAAGGTGATCGAACCTTACTTGTTGATGTGTTAGCTTCCTATGAACAGTTCATGTTTACTAACCAGGTTACATAGTTCTTATTTCATGCATGCACAGTTAGCTATTACCCGTGACTCTTGTAGATTGCGCTTTATCTTAAAATTAATTAAAAATAGAACTTAGTTGAAGGTGGAATATCTATTTTATTTTATTTTGTTTTTCACGAAATATATTCTTTATTAGGCAGTTTCAATACGTTCACCCTGACCTGTACGAATATCACTGACACACGTGCAGTAAAAAGCCAGCATTACGTATCAAGCGTGATATGACTATTTTACGAACCTCAAACAGTTCAACTCATTTTCAAACGAGCATGACAGTTGATATAACAGTGAACCCTTTTTTTTCTGTGGACTGAGCAACAAAGTATATTGACTGACAGACAAACCTCCCAATATCATCAAGCCCTTTATGTTACACTGAGGTGGCTTTACACACAGAAACATTTTCGTGACAATTGCAACGTTTAGATTATAGTGTGTCATACGATACGGATTTGTGGTGCAACTGTATCCTCGAGGAATAAAGTTTACACTATTTACGAATACTTGTCGGAGACAAGTGAGGAGAGGACAGTTATTAGTTCGTTTTCTTCTTTTCATAATAACTTGATGACTTTTTTTTTTTTAATTTTCGGCAAAAAAATTTAACCCTATCGTTGTTATCCAGTCGTTTCTTACCCTTAGTCATTTCATACTAAATTTCAGTCCATTCGTTCCCATTTTGAGTCGGTTCCTACCAGAACCAGAGAACCACTGATTCTTATACCCGTCCCAATATACATTCATTCTAAATATCTCAAGCGCGAGTGCGTGAAAAGGTGCTGATTGTTGCGTGCGACAAGCCAAGTCAGTGGAGTCAAGCGAGTGAGTGTGTGATGAAAAACACTAAGAGCTCAGTGGTCACAGCGATAAGACGACAAATGAATGAAGGGGTTAACAGTCTGGGGATTAGAACTTTAGATTCTGGAATCAGGACTTTAGAAGAACTTACGATCTTATTTCATAGCTTAATTATGCCTGTATTTACAAACGCAATTGAAGTATGGGCATATGCTTATAGTGGTATATTCTGCAAGCGAGCATGGAAATATGGCTACGCTAGGGAGTGCAGTATGTAATTCAAATTAGCGATAAACAACTATGGAAAAAAATCACAGCTACAGATACACATTGTTTAACAGATCTTCTACCGAAAAAACCTACATATCAGTCTTTACATCAACGTGGTCTTGACTATATGCTACCACGCTTTAAGAGCTGCTTTTTAAATAGATCTCTTTTTAACTTTATCAAGTTTAATGTTTGTAAAGAAAGTTATACTTTTTAGATAACTCCCCTTTTGTTGTATTATAAACTTGCACGTATGTCTGCAAGTATTTGATTTATTAATAAAGATTTAATCAATCAATTAATCAGATATCAGATTTAATAACCACGTGACGTCACAACATGGCGACCATTTCGGAAATCGAAGTTTTTTGTAGCCAATTCGAAATGTTCGCTGTTTATCCGTTGTTACTCGCCGTATGTACCAACAATTCTATTGGAAATAGGTGAATAGATACTGATCTCGGCGTGTATTCAAATTGGTGGTCATCAAGGAGTGATAGGGGTTAAATATCTAAAGAAAATGTGGTGCTCTGTCGGTGAGGGTTTTTACAAGATATCATCAACTCAGTTGAAAAACCAAATTATCTTGTTATATCCTCACCGACGCAACACCACAGTTGCCTCTCAAACTATGTTGAGCTCTATCAAATTTTTAGGGTAGAAACCAAGCCATCATATACAGGCCTAAACAATTACGCAACTTTGATTGAAAATTAATCAATAATTATTTAATAGTTATTTAATCAAGTGTTATTTAAAGGGTTATTTAAGAAAACTAAAGGGATAATCTAAAATTGCTTTTCGTAAACGACAATAATGAAAAAAACCGAACGAAAATTTCACAGCTAATTTTCAAAAAAAGGCAAGCTCTTTCAGGTTTTTTTAGTCAGAAAGTTGCATTTTGTAAAAATATCATTCATGACTCAATGTTCTTTCATGGTTTCTTTCTAGTTTAAATTTACCTCGAGCTCTTCGAACAGAATTACAGCAAAATGGAAACGACGGCCTGAGACACGCGTTTGATGATGGCTAGCCTGCCGAGCAGGTGTAATTTTGGCGAGCGAGTGTTCAGCAGTTCAGTATTTTCTTAGTGAAAATTATAGCTGCCATCTTTAATTCTTACAGCAGCAAAAAATAGGGGAGAGAAAGCAATTTGAATCAAAGGGATAGCGACGGTCAAAAGTAAGGAGAAGGAAGGTGATGAGAAATTGAAATTTTCCGCCTTTTCCCGTCCCCTAGCCCCACCGTATACTCTAGCTAGAAATTAAATATAGCTGGTCAAATAAACGATCGCCAGCTTATTACGTTACTCGCTCTAATAAGACGACAGCTCCGCAGGCTAACGAATAGCCTAAATTTAGTCTGAAGTCTTTTCTCAAGACAAAATGTTGTCCAGAATTCGCCGAAAGTATAAAATAACGTAATGCAGTCATGAGTCGTTGAGTAGATATCGTTCATCTTTTTTCAATGCTTGTATCACCAGCCATTTCAAGTTGAAAATATGTTGCCAGTAACTGGCTTGATGAAGAAATTCGTTGAAAATGTTCTGAAAGATCATAAAGAAAAAAGAAAAATTATTGATCCTTCTGACTTTCGATGTCTATCAACTAACATGGACTAAGAGGGATCAGAATTTTCCAGACCGTTTCTCATATCATAAGAATATCATCAAGACAACAAGAAGTTTTCCGCTAACGCAAGAAAAATGTAACTGAAATGGAATGGTCTCCTACGGGATCTTCTTTGTTTACTTAGAAATTACATGTTTATTGGCCTAAAGACCATTGTGCTCTATACAAATGCGGGCTACAAATGAACGGTTGAGCTCGTGCACATAGCGTAGCTAAATTGTTGTCATCTGTTCTCATCAAGTGATTCTTATGCAGGACTCAATTTAAGGGCCAACCATGGGGAATATTTTGATCAAAATCGTTTAAACGTTAAAAAATTCATTAATAATTTCGAAGCTGGAAAGAACCAATTCGAAAGAATAAATTTAAAATGGTTTTATTAGCACCTCGCAAAAAACAATATCTTAGCACAATGGTAAAATTTGTCAACTAAGAGTGGAAAATGGTTATCTAACAGACGTCACAGTCCCACAAATGACAAAGATATTCTACCTTTTAGTGCTCGATGCCTTACTGTTTTCATTTCATTAAGATTTCTAAGGACCCTAAATTTCCAGAATGATGCAAGCTTAACTCTTAAACCTACGTAGTTTTCCATAACTTGCAAATAAAAATATTTCGTTATAAAGTGACAATATATCAACACGAAGGACTGACAACAAATGCTATTATTTACTTAAATAAAAGGTGTATTTGTCTACTCTTTACGTTGGTCGCAAAAAGTTTAAAAATTGCTAGTTATCTTATTTAAGTTACCATGGAAGATCTACACAAACTTAAAACCTCGGAAACTAGTCAGAAGACTTTAACTTACGAGCTGTAGAACACATTCACTCATAGAACAGTGTTAGAGTGTTAGAGTAATCAAATAAACTATGTTAAAGTTGCTGAAAGTTGGTATACTGATGATAAAGACATAACAATACAAAACAATTTACTAGGTAATGACATGGTAAACATTACACATGACAGCCTTGTTATATCCATCTGCACAATGATTTGACAGGACTTTTAGAAATGATAACGCAGACACACGGTTCTTCGTAATAGTCTGAGGCAGTAGTACGGCACTCGTATGACTTGAGATAAGGCCGCAAGCACTACCAGGATGCAGGCTATAGCTGGTAGAAAGCCAAGCAAAGCGACTTCCATCCACTCCAACGCGTAAAAAAGGTTCTCTCTTGGTCCAGTAGGCTCGAGTCCCTGGGCGATAAGGGTGACTTCTGCCAAGTTGAAAGTGCAAATAGCAACAAGACTCATAAGAGAAAGGGCTTCACATATGTTGGCCTTACGGTCACGAAATGGTCTCGACACAAGATGATGCACCAGAGTTACAACACATGCGAAATCCAAACAGATGAATCGCGTTAAAGGATCAGTGATGAAGTTACGAATGGTCAGTAGTAGGAACCTCCGACCGGTCAGCACACTCTCCCAGTACAATGTACCATGGTCATCACCACAGGGTGGACGGAATGGATCATGGAGAACTTTCTTAATTTCTTCGGCATCGTGGGTATTCCCCCAAAACAGTTCAAACCCGTGAAAACTTGGTTTCTTGAAAACGTAGCGATAGAGCCAGATGAAAAGAAAGGGCAAAGGAAATGCACAGGAAGTCAAGAACTCCTTGGCTGACAATTTGTCTTTGGAAAGCATCAGCGATCCCCAGAAGAGGACGAGCACAAGGGGAATAATAAATACCAAGATGAAGACAATTTGCATATACTGCCACCACTGCCAACAGGGGATGTTTCCATCTATGAACAGACGCCACTCCCGCCCTACGGGAACGCAGTGCATGAGCTTCAGAGATGTATCTGCTAGGGTCTCGTAGCCTAGTAACAGGGTCTCCAGAACCACAGCCAGGTATAGTGTAAGGGAAGGTTTAGGAATGTGCCGGAACCGACTTATGACTCGATGGATGGCATAAATTATGGCAATGGAGAGCAACGTCGCTAAGAACTTCAAACACAAAAACAACTCTTTGGTGACAACATTGAAGCCAGGAAATGGGCATCCAATGCTGCCATTAATGGTCCGTATCTGGAAATTAAAGAGTGCAATGACTGGCGTAACAAAAGGAACTATGTGAAGGGCTGCCTCAGGGGACTTGATCATCAGTATCTCAGCAACTTGATAAAAGTAGAAGATGGTCTTGAAATACCCGGCATCGTGTTCTTCATCGTTTCCTTCATGTGGTGCTGCCTGTCTTTGGCTGCTGTTGGATTTCTTTCTAAACCACAAGCATTGCCGGTACAGCCACGGGAAGATAGGCGGCTTGAAAACGAGGTAGAGAGACAACATTATTACGTAGATTAAACTCGCTATCCAAAACCAGTGATCATGGCATTTTTCTCTCTCTCGACAAGATGTGGAATATAAGTCTTCGCTGAATCCCTCAGTACATTGGCCGCATAAAACGCCTGTCCTGCTGCCATGGCAACCATTAAAAGCATAAGTATTAGGACGGGTAGGAGGTCGGCAGTATTCCAGTGGACAGGGATGAAACTCCAGCTTAGTTGATAGTGGTGAAGAGTAGCAGCCCCAAAAGTTTTCTTGGGCTTCGATGTCTCCATTTTCACACGTCGCCCCGTAAGGACATTTAAGACATTTTGTTTCCTTGTGAATATCCAGACCACTGGAGGATCCTCTTTTTAAATTATAGAATCCATCCTGACACTCTCCACAAAAAAATGTGACATAAGCTACGCTTATCCAGCAAGTCTTACCCTCTCTAACAAGTTCGAAACCGGCTTGTCTGGCGATGTTTTCGAGCTTGATCTGTTTTCCATCTGGACATTTGAAGGAGGTCGAACTGTCGATCTTAATCGTATTGCTTTTCGTCACAGCAAAGATTGGATCGAATTCTTGATTAACGTCTGCTACAAAAGACGAATTTTGAATCTTTAACGGACCAGCGCTCTCGGATCTAAGAAAACAACCAACGGCTGACACGTTGGAATGACCTATCAAACTTGTTTCGTTTTGCAGGAAGCTACAATTATTGATGTTCAGAATGCCGAAGCCTGTCTTCATATATACATGACCTCCCAAAGCCACTCCCTCATTGTTTTTAAATGCACAGTTCTTGATAGTGACGTTGCCATTCAAAAAGCTCAATGCTCCAGCGATGCCCACGTTG